AAGTTTTTGTTTATTGCTATATTTCAACCAAATAATGCGTGTTTTATAATGCTAATAATGAAAAATTTACACATTTATCTGATTATATTTTATTTTTTTACTGCTCAGGGTTATTTGATAGATAAAAGTAAACAGATATAATATCCAAATCAATACCATTACCCGAATTTTAACCAGATAAGTTTTATATAACGAAATTCCTTATACTTAGCTTATTTATATAGTTTATTCCTCACGACTAAAAAAAAATAATTTGCAAATTTTATGAAAACTAATTTCGGATTTAGCGATCAGTTTATTCACGAATTATTTAGTATGGACCCGGATCACTCAATCTACTGTCAATTCTCAAGTTTATTAGCATTTTGATAATACCGATCTTGAGCATGTTTTACAAATGGTCTATTAACTCAATAAAGCCATTTAATTACTGCATACTGGATTAGTTTAGCTGAATTTATTCGTTTTCGCCATAAACGATACATTCGCTGAATAATAGTTGCTGATCAATTTTTTATATACAAAGTTAGAAAATATGTTACTTGGGTTTTAAATTCTCTAAATTCAGAGTTATTGGCTATGGATTCATTTCTGATTAAATTATTTTTAATACGAAATACAAAGTTTCTCCAATGAACCTTTCTATTAATATCATATCCTAGTATTAATAAACGTCTTCGTATATATTCAGGTGGATGATACTTCGCAAATCGTAACCAAGCTTCTGGTGTTTTTAGATTATTGATATAGTTTAAACCATATTCGGTTAACATATATTGGGCATAATTATTTTTTGTCTATTTCTCAAAAATATCTTGAATATTAGGCATGTTTAACGCGTGAATTTTATTAACTAAGGCTTTTTTTTAATAAGTATGAACCAACGGCTGATCGATCTAGTGAATAATTAGTGAAGAAAAGGAGGAGTATATACCCTTTCTTCGAGCAAGCTTAAAAAAAGATATATCTGGGTTATCGATATATCTGGATTACCGATATATCTGGCTTCGAGTGATTTAATCATGAGAAGGCGAGATTTTTATTTTACTTCGACACCGCCAATTTATAAGAAAAAAAATATTAATATAAAAATATATCTCTTAATTGTGATCCTGCCTTCTCGCAATTCTTACTTGAAGCCAGATATAGTTATTTAACAGATTTTTAGTTTTTGAAGCAGTTAACTATATATCTTTTTTCGAGCTTGCGAGAAAAAAGAAAAATAGCATTAGAAAAACGATGGACAACTTGAGTCTCACATATATGAGGGCCCAGTGAAAATCTTCCAAACTAGCGATGTTCACGTCACCACCCTGGACCCGTCTTCGGGCATTTATTTCTGAATTTTAGCTAACATTGCATCAATTTCAGCTAACATTGAATCTATTTCCATTGTCTGAGATGCCGAAGAAGCCTGTAATTGGGGTTTTGGACTGTTGCTTGTCTCTGGTTCAGAGTCAAACTCCTCTGGTTCTGTATCACCTATAGCATAATTATTTCCCGCATCAAGACAATCTGATTCTTGTCTTAGTGCAATTCTCGTAAAAAAGCTGAGATGTTGGGGGTTGAATTTGGGCCACCGTGAATTCTGGAAGCATGCTTACCACCATAATCTCTTAACTTTTTAGGTATGGTTCTATAAGGTTCTTGCTTTAAGAATTTATTAAAT